CACACACACACACACACACTCTGTGACAGCCCGAGTTCCAGGAGTAAGAGAAAGCCCTCCTTTCTCTTCCCCTATTTCACATTTGCTGCATCATAGAATCATGGAGTTGGAAGGGACCTCTGAGGCCATCCAGCCCAACCTCCTGCTCAGTGCGAAATTGAGAAATCAAAGTAAATCAGAGAGATGGCAGTTCAGAATCATTCTGAATGCCTCCTAAAAGCAAGAACAGCCCGAGTTCCAGGAGTAAGAGAAAGCCCTCCTTTCTCTTCCCCTATTTCACATTTGCTGCATCATAGAATCATGGAGTTGGAAGGGACCTCTGAGGCCATCCAGCCCAACCTCCTGCTCAGTGCGAAATTGAGAAATCAAAGTAAATCAGAGAGATGGCAGTTCAGAATCATTCTGAATGCCTCCTAAAAGCAAGAAAACAGGGCAAAAAGTGAGTTTGGGCTGCGTCCCTGATCGGACCCTAAACAGCGGTACTGTCTGAAAACACATGCTTTGTGTTGTGTTGGTGCACATTGCCCGTGGGAATTATGCTCAAAAATGCAGGCAGGGCCTTCTCGGTGGCTGATGCCAGACTTTGGAACTCCCTCCCACTGGAGGGAAACCTGGCCCCATCTCTGCTGTCTTTCTGCACCAGGCAAAGACCTTTCTCTTTGGGAAGGCATTCCCTTAGTGACTGGCTGGATTACGTTTTCATATTTAAATGTTTTAACTAATTTTTTTTTGAATAATACGTTCATTTAATTGTTTTAAGACATGTGCAACACACTGTTTTTTGCTTTTAAATGTCTTTTTTAAAAATAATAATAATAATGAACCAGCCTTGGGTTCTTTTTTCGGAAAAAGCAGGGGGTAAAATATTTTAAATAGATAAATACCACATTCCCCCAACCAATAGAATAAAATAAAACAAAATAAAAATCTGCAGTTGTTTAGCGAATCCAAAGAAACACTAAGGAAAAGCCATAGCAAAGCCGGAAGGAGGAAGACCCAGTGCAAGAGGGATTCGCTCACTGAAGGAATCCACGGGCCTGGGGTTGCAAGAGGGCTGAGCCAGGAGACTGCTGTACATACTGCCATCGGGACGGCTTCTGACCGCCTCTGCCTGGTGACTGATGACGCCGCGGGCGCTCTCAAGGGCGATTGGCTCCCCGTGGAAACAGGGCCCAATCCGGAGGGCGAAGGGATGGCTGGCTCGAGAAAGTCCCGGATGAAATAAAAGTAGATCAGAGAGATGGCAGTTCAGATTCATCCTGAATGCCTCATAAAAGCAAGAAAACAGGGCAAAAAGGGAGTTTGGGCTGTGTCCCGGATCAGACCCTAAACAGAGGTATCATCTGAAAATACATGCTTTGTGTTGTGGTGGTGCACATTACCCATGGGAATTATGCTCAAAAATGCAAGCAGGGCCTTCTTGGTGGCTGCTGCCAGACTTCCACTGGAGGCCAGCCTGGCTCCATCTCTTTTGGCCCCATTGTTCTCCTTGCAGTCCAGGGGACTCTCAAGAGTCTCCTCCAGCACCACAATTCAAAGGCATCAATTCTTCGGTGGTCTGCTTTCTTTATGGTCCTGCTCTGACTTCCATACATCACGACAGGAAAAACCATAGCTTTGACTATTTGGACTTTTGTTGACAAGGTGATGTCTCTGCTTTTTAAGATGCTGTCTAGGTATGTCATTGCTTTCCTCCCAAGAAGCAGGCATCTTTTAATTTCATGGCTGCTATCACCATCTGCAGTGATCATGGAGCCCAAGAAAGTAAAATCTGTCACTGCCTCCATATCTTCCCCTTCTATTTGCCAGGAGGTGATGGGACCAGTGGCCATGATCTTAGTTTTTTTGATGTTGAGCTTCAGACCGTTTTTTCACTCTCTTCTTTCACCCTCATTACAAGGTTCCTTAATTCCTCCTCAATTTTTGCCATCAGAGTGGTATCATCTGCTTATGTGAGGTTGTTAATATTTCTTCCTGCAATCTTAATTCCGGTTTGGGATTCCTCCAGTCCAGCCTTCCGCATGGTGTATTCTGCATATAAGTTAAATAAGCCGGTGGACAATATACAGCCTTGTCGTACTCCTTTCCCAATTTTGAACCAATCAGTTGTTCCATATCTAGTTCTAACTGTTGCTTCCTGTCTCACGTATAGTTTTCTCAGGAGATAGATAAGGTGTTGCCTCGAAAATTCTGAAAAGGCAAAGAGGAGAAAAGAACCCTCTGGATCCATTTAAAAAATAAAAATAACTCTCCGGAAACATAAAAAGCAACGGCCACCAGGCGATCCAGGTGCCCCAGCCTGGATCCATCTAGATCTTCTTAAAGAGAGGCATTTGGAGGCGCCCTGTGACATTCGGGGGGGGGGGGGAAGAAAG